ATGAACTTCAAAGACAATCCCGACCTTCCTCTCAGTTTGCAGGACAAAAATGATAGGATGCTCTGGAGAGAATTGAACAAGAATACAGCCTTTGACAGTCACACGGCTCACTCGGGGAAAGGAATCTAAGCATCAAAATCACCCGAGGCTACTTCGTGTAACACTTAAGAATGCTACCGACGTAGAGGATGTCTTACTAGCGAGTCATTTGCTGAAATCAGATGGGAATACTGCCTGACATATCGTATTCTGAGCGCAATCTCATCCGGAACATCCCCAAAGAATCTCGCGATCAGTTTTTCCGCGGGAGGAATATAATTGAGCAAGGTATACCGGAAAATACGGACCCTGCTCAATCAAAAACTGACATCAGGGAATGGAAATTCATCAGGCAGTCCTTGAGGCCCAAACACATACTGACTCAGCATGTGACGAGACTAGTCAAGAAGGATGGTGATCCTAAACCCCGTCTGATGAAGATAACTTTCCCATATGGCGGCTGCAACTCTGGAAGCATTTCGTGCCAACAGACGTTGACTGCCACCTGGAATCCACATGCACCCGGATACGCCATACGAAGCTAGGACCAAACACAAAGGCAAGTTGGAGTTGACCATTTCACTTGTGGACTGTCTAGACGATAAAAAAACGTGTAAAAGACAGGGCCTACCACCTCGGCAAACCTCATATAGGTGGGTTACCTGTCCATTCACGTAAGGCTCATACAGACAAACAGGACGAAGCTCACGCGTTCCAAATTGAAAGCATAAACTGCTTATATATGAACGCCGCGAGTCTACCAAACAAATTGGATGAATTACGTGAACTTAGCAACGCTAATAAGGTCCGTCTGATAGGAATATCTGAAACCTGGATATCTTCTCAGTTCTCGGACCAAGAGTTAGTATTATCTGGGATGCTTTTGTTCCTCAACGACAGAAAATCAGGAATTGGAGACGGAGTAGCCGTATACATACGTTCTTGCTTGGAGATGCACCAAGTTCACAACCTCGAGTTTAACAATCTTAAGGAATCCATATTGTACTCTGTAAGATTGTCTAGTACTTCAAGGTGTCTAGTCGGAGTCATTTACAGGAATCCAGCTGCCGACATCGAGTACGATAGTCGTATGTTGGAAGGGATACCCCGCTCTACTCGTCTCGGTTTCACACACATCCTGTTTCTAGGGGACTTTAATCACCCTTTAGTCAACTTCGCGGAACACACGTATACTGGAGGCGACAACTCAATTGAAGCTCGGTTCTTCAACCTCATCGATGATTTGGGATTATACGAAAATGTGAGGTCGGTAACTCGTTGGAGAAACAGTCAGACACCATCACGCTTAGACTGTGTATTCACAAATGAAAAATTCCTATTTGACAACCTCTCAATCCTAGCCCCCCTGGGAAAAAGCGATCATGCCTTCATAGCCTTCAGTTTTGTCAGCAAAAATAAGCTAAGATATCCCACCAATAACTTGTGTTGGAATTTTAAACGGTTGAATGTGCCAGCTTCACACGACTATCTACAACAGATGGTTTGGGATGTTCACCCCCAACTCGATGTGGACGGTCATTGGGACTTCTTACTGCACACGCTCTTACGTGCTACAAACCATTCAGTTCCTCAAACAGTCCCCCATAGCTATCAGCAACCCACAATCATCAGGAACCACACTCTTCGCCTGCTAGGCCGAAAAAGGCACTGTTGGGCGGAATACAAACGAACTGACAACGACGGAGCGTACAGGCAATACAAACATATAAGGAACATATGCACGAAGGCTATAAGAGAAGATAGGCTTCAGTACCAGACAAAGCTTATGGACAAATTTGCCTTTCATCCCAAAAGCTTATTCCGTTATGCAGCCTCTCTTCGTCAAGCCAAAACTGGAGTTTCTCAACTGCTAGGTCTTAACGGCCCGACCAACAACGATGGTCACTCCGCTAACCTTCTGGCTGAATATTACTCCCAGACATTTCAACCGACCGACATTAACTTTACTGACGACAGTTTCGTTTGCAATTCCACAGAACTTTCCGAAGTGAACCTAAGCGCCGACTTGGTGTTCCGGAAACTGCAGCACTTAAGAATAGACACTTCTCCTGGTCCGGACATGGTCCATTCTACCATACTGAGGGAAGCAGCCTCAATCTTGGCAACACCGCTTAGCGTAATGTTCTCACACTCGCTAAGCCGAGGAAAACTACCGGAAAATTGGAAGCTGGCTCACATCACACCAGTTTTCAAAGGAGGTCGGCGCAGCGAACCTTCGCGTTACCGACCAGTGGCTCTTCTCTCAATACCTTCAAAAACCATGGAGTCTCTGATATGCTATGGCATAAATGACTATTTACTTTCCTTAAATTTCTTCTCACCCCAACAGCATGGTTTCAGGAAGGGCTACTCTTGTATAACCAACCTTCTGACTGGGGTGGACAGATGAACAAGCATCCTCGATCACAAAGTGAAGGTTGACATCATCTACCTAGATTTCTCAAAAGCTTTTTATAAGGTTAACCATACATGTCTCAGACCACCTCTAATCGATTGGCTCACTTCATGCCTGAAAAGTCGACATTTTAAGGTCAGGGTTAATTTCACTTTATCTCAGGCTATGGAATGTCTTAGTGCGGTCCCCTAGGGCTCAGTACTAGGACCTCGTCTCTTCTTGATCTACATAAATGGTCTTCCTCAACAGGTAATGTCAGACTTGTTAATTTTTGCCGACGACGTGAAACTTTGGAGAGAGATACACAACCAAGACGATATACAGGTACTTCAGGAGGATCTGACTCGACTTCAAAGTTGGGCAGACGATAACGGACTTACCTTTAACACTTCAAAGTGTAAAGTAGTCCATCTGCGACATGTCGCAGACTACAGTTATAACTTAGGAAACTCCTCTCTAGTAGTATCCCAAGTCGAAAAAGATTCAGGAGTCCTGGTGCCCTACGATTTAAAGTCTTATGCTAACTGTGACAAAAATGCCTTCCGAGCAAACCTTACACTGGTAACATTGAAGCGCACTTTTGGACAGTTTGACGGACGAACTTTCCATACAGTCTTCAATAGTTTCATCCGTCCCCATTTAGAGTACTGAAACAGGGTATTTCCCCTCCTCACTCCGAAAGGATAAGGACACCCTGGAGCGTATCCAACGGCAAGCCACGAAATCAGTTCGAGGACTCAAATCTAAACCTTACGAAGAGCGCCTCCATTCACTTAACCTTTACTCATTAGAGTATAGATGTCTTAGAGGTGACCTTCTGCTGGCTTACAGTATCCTTAACACTTCTGGACATCCTCTCAGACACCTACTTAAACATAGTTCCAACACTAACCTAAGAGGTAACACTCAGAAACTGGAGACACAACATAGCAGAACGGACTGTAGACACAACTTCTACTCCTTAAGAGTTGTCAAATGCTGGAATTCGCTGCCGCCCGAGCTAGTCCAAGCGACTTTCCAGGAGTCCTTTAAGAGGCAACTTGATCGATTCTTAAGGACTAAGGATAGTATCACACTATGATTCACTAATTTCTTTTCCTCTTTTATTGTTAACGTACCTAGGTTCCTGCCTGGAGGATTTGGTGATCCCCTGCTACTAGACACTGAAGCCTGTTAAGCGAAAGCTTCTTCTATTCAGTCCACAACCATTTGAAACATTTGACTAGGTAGTTGCTTCCTGTAGGGTCATGTTAGGGCAGTGTTCGAGTTTGCTTAGAATTCTTGTTCGGATATCAGCATCCTCGGGTGAACGCAGGCTACAGACAAATACTAGGCATTTAAACTGATTTTCAGTCATGGAAGACAACTTGAACCTCTCACATTCTCAGTTCACAATTCCTGCATGTTCCACCCAGTCATCTTCTGGTTCTTTCGATATCTTCAAGCATTGGTAACGGATATTAAATAAAGATGACTGTTCTCCAAAGATGTGAGACAGGGTTTTAACTGTTTCATCAAAACTAAAGTCTCGTGGATTCTTCGGGAGAATGAAGTTTCTATAGCGTCCATGTTCCATAGTCCCAAGTTTTCTCAGAAGTATTCTGACTTCTGAAGCGTCACCCAGTTTGCAAAGATCAATATAAAACAAATCTTTATACTTCTTAAACCAAGAATTAAAAGTTAAACCTGCTACACCATCAAAATTAAATTCATGGATGGCGTTACTGATTGAATCAGTGTGAGATACTTGTGATTCGCCAAAAGCAGGGTTTTGCTGGAACAGGCAGAATTTTTGCATCAGGGCTTCCATGATTCTGATTTGGGATTGTTCAAACCTCTTTTCTTGACGCTCAATATAAGTTTCTAGCTGCTCCAAAGAAATATTCATTGTAGTTTTTCCCATCGCCACTGATAAGTCTTGTTGACTGAACGCTATATTCGTTTCCTAAGCTATTCTGGTAACCCGCAAGCTAAAACTACACAGCGACCTGAACACCAGATAGAAGACACAAAGTATGAGAGAAATGCTTTACTCCAAGATTCACTTTTGTACAGAAAAACACGGGTATTTATAGATGTTAACATTTGTTAAATCAACACCATATTTCGGCCAATCCGTTAACGACATATTATGCTACTGACCAATATTAGCAAGTGTCACCAAGACTGAAGTAACTAAACGTGAATCAAATATATTCGACTCAATTACAACTGACTGACAATGGATTTAGAAGGCCATAATGCAATACAAACTAAGTACAGTCCATCCTAATCTCCCTATTTCGGGGTTTTTGTGCCATTTTCCCAAAAGTTTCTGTAGCGGCTTCTCCATAATAGGGAGATTGGGATAGTTCTATTACATTAGTCGCCTTTTTTACTTTACACGTGTTTCAGTCCCAAAATCTTATAAGGGCAGTAAGAACACTATTACGAATTAAATAAATGTCATCCCCCAATAAATGAATGCCAGTTTGATTAATTACACAACACTGATTTTTTTATGATCAACACTTAAAAGCAACTTTTTTATATCTGCACATATTAGATTCATTCACATCTTGGTTACGCGATCCTATGCTCACTTACGAGCTGTATTCAATGAATATACATCACTTGGCAAGCGTAATATGGAAGATGCTTTAAAATCAGAAATGCATGGGCACACACTCAGTGCCTTACTGTCTATTGGTAAGTAACGCTAACCACCATTTTTTTCTAACATAAATGATGACCAAATAATTTAAAATTATTTGATGAAATCTTTAATCACTAGAGTATTGAATGGTAGTTGTATTTAAGTTAAACTATTGTTAGCAGTGGATAGATATAATCTTTGAATTGAATAATCACTATATGTTGTTCATTATTTAAATTTCATTTCAGTTCGTTGTATACAAAATAAGCCACGATATTTTGCAGCGAAATTATTAAAAGCTATGAAAGGTGCTGGAACAGATGACAGGACCCTTATTCGTATTATTGTATCTCGTTGTGAAGTTGATATGGGACAAATTAAAAAAGAGTTTCATGGTTTAAAAGGGAAAACATTAGAGGCATGCATACACGTAAGTGCAAACGACATTTGTTGGGTGAATATATATATAATCTACAGACCATTTTGCCGACTTTTCAGGAGGGTTACGTATAGATTGTGCAATCCCTTATGTAGCTACAGATTAAGTGTAAAAGCAAACTGATCTGCATGCAGAACGATTCCTGACTTAATCAGTGCTTGTATTGGAAAACAAATGATATGCAGACTTCGAGGTAACCGTCCGTGCTGCACAAGTTTGGACGTCCCTAATTTCGCTCTCATTCTCCGCTTATTCAACTCCACTTTGTCTGATAACTTATACTACTTATTAATATTCAGTAACCAGTTCCATGTTCAATAGCCTATGAGCATATGATGTAACTTATGTTTGTTGTGCAATATTCCTAAGTACTTATATAAATTAATATTTACCTTACTCATTATCGTAATTACATCTTCATAACACTTGCAACAGTTAAACTCAGTTTCCCTGAATTCGTTGGATATCTTTTTAAACTCAACACCTTCCATAATTTTGTGTTCGTAGTCTCCGTTTGATTGTTGATAGCCATTATTAACTTTAGACACAGTTACCGGCTGCAATTTACACTATCATATGTTGTAATACATCTTTATGAAATGACAGTGTTATGACTGTGTGCAGCAGATTAGAGGGCAGCTTATTATCGATCGGACCAAAGACGCGTAAACACGTAAGGACGGCCTAGAGTTCTGATTGGTCCCGCTTCCCTGTTTGGCCAGCCAGTTGAGTCCAGAACGCAAGTCTCCGCCTCTGAGATATGAATCATTATATTTCAAGCATACTGAGTTTATATACCAATCAAACCGACCACAACGTATCAATAAAATATGTAACAACATTTGTACAAGAATTAGCCAGATGTGGTTGTGAATGAGGGAGGTAGCGATTAACAGACAGGGAACAGTTCATGAATGGTAAATCGTTTAATAATAGTTCATAGGTCAAAATAAAGCTCATAATAAGAGGGGCATGAATATGAACAGTCTAGTTACGAAACAATTATACGATAAAAACATACTCATAATATTGGTCCATAAATGGATCCCAAAAACTACCACTCATTATTCTTATCGGGATACAACAGATAGCAGGAAGCGGTATCTCTCGAATAGATATAGACACATTAACCCCCATAGATGCTTCATCAGTTGGGGTTTGTAACTAATTCACATATATTTTATATCAATAGGACTGTTCTTTAGGTAAATCCTCGTTTTCAACTTGGGTTCCACGAGTACTTCAGTTGGGTTGTTCGACAAAATTGACCGTGTTAGTATAGTGCTACTATAACAATCACCATGCCCTGATTACTGATATGTACCTAATTATTCGTAAAAATAATTCAATAGCTCTTGAATCTCACTCTGCAAAATCGTTTGCAATGGCGCAGGTGCATCCACTCTCTGTGTTCTCCCAAATTCTAATCTTCTGAATCCTTCATGTCCCTTTTTTCCTCTTTCCAAATTTATTTCACTGGATTACACTCTTTAAATAACATCTCCAAACCCTAATCTTCCCGATTACTGCTTATACTCTTATTACCTCTACCACTACGGGATTTGAATCGACAACTGCATCTCTGTGCTAATGTGGTGTGGCAACTTCAACTGATGTACGTACGTACGAAGTTCTACGTTGTTACTGACTGACTGACTGACACACAACTGTCACATTGTAAAGCTGCACTACAGATGCATAACCGTAACATGGGAATTTGGAGACAATGTCAAATCTACTGAACTACCATCAAGTTTTCTCATAACAATAATACTGAACATAATTCAAAGTTGAATAATGAACGTATGAGTTGAGTCCACTTAGCTGATTAACTGGAAATAATTAACTAAGACAAAATACATACGTGACCGAATTACAGAAAGTAAGCAGCTTCTCACCTTCAAAATAAATTTATCACTAACTATAAATAAAGAATCAAACGTTCTTGTCGTATTTGGGAGTTGACAATATAAGAAGGCTGCACTACCTACCAAATGAGTATAGATATGCGTCTTTATCTTACATAAAGATACTATCAGGTAACTTGAATTTATGTTGGAAGAAAAATCAGACACTTAGGCCAGTGGTTGAAGAAAACCCATAAACTACTATCATTTCGACTATGTTACCTTTCACCTTTTTATATCACTCTGCTGATATGAAGAGCGGAAAACCAGACCGATATTAAATTATACCTGACCCAAACATATAAAAACAATTCCTACTGTATTACTTGTGTAGTAAAATTTATCATCAAATTAAATGTGGGACTAACATTTTAAATTTATATTTTTATAAATTTTTAACCGGTTCAGTTGTAGACAATTGATGGTAACTCATTAGAATTAAACGGTATACATTTGTTTATTCCTCACTCTCTGTAGGATGAAACGTCAAGAGATTATCGTCGTCTATTACTGGCGCTTATAGGAGCATGATCTCGAATACGATTTTATTTACATTGAATAAAGCTGTCAATAATGAATCAGTTCATAAAAACATGTTAACGAGTATTTCTGAAGATATATTTCATAGCTACAGCTTTTTACTTTAATTAACACAAGTATTCCGCTATGAGAGAATATTTTAAAGTTATTTAATCGTTTTATCTACTATCCCACTTTTTTACGTTCACAAAATGCCATAATCAGATATTTTTATTTTATTGCTAATTTTTATACAAACAAAGTGATTTGCTTTGAGATGGATGGATTTTTTTTAACGTTCTAGTTAAAGGGTGAATGAAGTAAAGGGTTTTGATAAAATATTACAGATAGTAACTAATGCGATTGCATGAATATAATGACCTGAGGTTGGTTAGTTAGACTGTCGCTCAGAAATGATCGCTGAAAAACTTTCGTTTGTATTTTCCTATTCACTTTTTGAGTTAAATTTGTTCATTGATGAGAAAAGACAAACAACAGTCCAACCCGTACTGATTATACGGTGGATACCAGCTTGGGATGAATAGTACTCATGAACTGCTTGGACTTGGTAAACACGAAATACGCGCTGCATGATCATTATCGTAAATCCCCCCTTCTCATTACAATATCAAAACATACAGTCAGAGGTCAACCGAAGAAAACGGGTATACAATGCCATGTTAAAATAATAAGACCTACGAAGGTAACCTTGTTAAAAAAGCGCTGACCATAAAAAAACCACTCCAGATACCCTTAGGGAGTTGAAGAATCTTCATTTAAAAGAGTTATGACGCCCAAACGTGGAAGTCGAGAATCATTACTGAACAAACAATCGAATGGAACTCATGACTATACATCGAATTCCTTGACTATGAGGAAGCGTTTTACAGCGTGGATAGGACCTTATGGAACCATCTTCGGCACTATGGTGTACTTGAGAAAGTCGTCAATATCATACGAATTCATACAACAGACCACACTGCAAAGTCATGCATGGAGGACAGCCGACAGATACATTCCATGTGAGGATCAGAGTCAGACAAGACTACTTAATCTCTCCTTTTCTCTTTCTTCTGGTAGTTGATTTGATTATGAAGAACTCGACATCTGAGGGAAGCACTAAATACAGTAGACAGCTTGTATGCAACTAAACGATTTAGAATTTGCAGATCACTTAGCCCTTCTATCCCATACACACCGACAAATGCAGACGGGAACAACGAGTATAGCAGCAGCCTCTTCAAAACTAGGCTTCAACATGCACAAAGGAAAAAGTTCCTAAAATACAACACTGAGCGCCAGCCAAATCACACTTGGTGGAGAATATCTGGAATTAGAAACTTCAACACACCTGGGCAGCAACACTGACAAACGAGGGGAATTCGATGCAGATATGAAAGCACAGACCGATAAGGGCAGCATTTCTATAAGTGACGAACACCAGGAACTCCAAACACTTCCCAGCCAACGCCAAAATCAGAATATTCAAAACAAATCTATTGTACGGAGCTGAGATGTAGAGAGCAACCACAGCTACCATCAGGGAAGTACATGTATTTGTAAACAGTCGTCTACCCAAGATAATCCAGACCCACTGGCCAGACACCATCAACAACAAACAATATCCCAGCTGAAGAAATTAGGAAAAAACGCGAGGGGGATAGGGCACGTAGCAGAAACCACCAGACTGAATCACGAGGTAAGTCCCAACGTGGAATCCTGAAGGCGAAAGGAAAAGCTGACCAAAGAACACGTCCCGCCGCGAATCGTAGGCAGACATCAAAAGAATGTCACTTGTGAACAACTGGGAAAAAAAACCCTAGGACAGAGATGGTTGGAGAACCTTGGCCGGCGGTTCACGAGGGGTGACAGACGTGAGTGAAGACGACGTATCGGGAACAAGGTCATCGGAACAGATTGGCCTAGTGTTTGTACAATAATTTTTTTAAAACCAACTACATAAAGTAATCGCTGTTTCCCAGAATGGCAAAGAAAACTTTACATTTAAACTATCTAGCTCAAAGGACACACTACCATCAGTCATAAATCTTCTACACTATTTCATACGTAGCATACCTTGGAAAGCACTGTCTGGTCTAACCCATACATACACCAACAAAAATTGGAGTTGAGATGTTTATGTGAACCGACTAGCCTCACATCAAATCGGGAAAGTTTTCAAAATTTCATGTAAGACAAATGTCACCCTATTTCGTTTCCAGTACATAATAAAACTACCCTATTTACGCCCATTTTGTTGACGATTCTTATTACTGATGTGAGGTGTGACTATTTGGAATATTAATATTCGCACTAAATCCTCCAACCTTTCAGTATACATTTAGGTAAGCTCGATTATTTTCTTATTAGGAATTATATGTGCTTAGAGCCCCGTCATGTAACCATCATATACAATGGCTTCAGGCATATTAAGATGACTATTTGGCTTGTGAATTTCAGTTAGTTCCTCGAGAGAGCGTAACAAGGAACAGGACCGACCAACCCAATGTAATGGACTTCTGAGAACCAGGTAGGCATAAAGTGAAAAGTTGAAGTACAAATTTTAGGATCACGTAAATATTTTTATTGCTCAATACACCTCCTTTACTTTTCCCTACGGATTTCAGGGTCAATTCGAGGTACCGTTTTTCAATCAAGAGACGTAGTACGTAACTACCTGCTTCATATGGGTTTCTAGGATGCTTAAGTATCCTGTACAATAGCACATTGGTTTCACGGCGCCATTGTTATCAAATGTTTTATACAGGCATTATTCTCCCTTTGTATTGCTTTGGTGTTAGTACTCTAATCACTAGCGTTTTAAGACTTCTGACGATGAGGTAAGCTAAGAAACAACTAAAATGGAGGATGGTGAGTCTAACTTACATGCCAACACAGATCCCGATTTCCAGATGACCCTCTACACCCAGCTTCAAAGTCTGATATGAAAACCGGACGACCACGTTGAGAAACTGTAAAATGTTACACAAATGCAGTTTGTGTCAGTCCACTTTACTGTATCACATGTTGGGACGCTACCAGATCTCTAGTAAAACGTAAAGCGACCAAACATACATCCTTTCCACGTGTAACTATAACATGCCCGGAACCACGAGCTCTGGCCTAAATACTTGAAAATTAGTAAATATGTAGCCGTTTGGCATACCCTTGTTTAACTATGCTAGGAGCAGATGTTTTCCAGTAGGAAAGAACGAGTTATGGGGAAATTTGACTCGACTTTTCGAACAAGTTTCCTATAAGACCAGTCTATTGAGAAAGGGGATATTACACCCAGTAGTTTGGTAATAAAGCCTTGGAAAGGATGACATATATTCTTTTTAAAGTCTAAAGCACTTACTCATATGAGAACTACCTACCTCAATCTTGCAGTCATCGATGTGTTAGGTTAGTGGTATCAAAACTCAAGAAACAAGAATAGGTTCTAAAACTCCGCCATAAGTTGCTTTTGCAATCAACTGAACTGTCAGGTCCTCAAAGAATTAATTCCGAATACATAAACCACATGACCACAAACCGACGTCGATTATAATGAGACTCTACCTATTGAATACTGACTTTAACAAGTCACCATGCATCATTCCAATGCCATACTAAGCCCGAAAAGTGTGATAACGCATACTTTAAGCTTTCACATGGTGATTACTAGTTGTAACATAACCCAGTATTCAAGCACGGGCTACATAATTATATGTTGAAATAAAAAGATACCACCCAAATACGATAGAGCCTGGAACTCACATTAGAAGCGCGTAATAAAATATCTTCAAGAATTATAATATTGAAGAAAATGCGTAGCAGAAATTTTGACAAGTCATCATCTATGAATGTCACTTAGACAACAGGGAAATGTATACATAGTTATGGGAGGGTAATCTTTAGTTACAATCCACCAGTTTGTGCCTGGAAAACTTCAACGGTATCATTTTCTTCCATTTCCAACTAAAAATTTTAATGTGAACCATAAGGTTGACTTACCGAGCCAGGAGTATCAGTCTCATGAACGCTATTTCCATCGAAAAAAAACCGCACAGCAGACTGATTAACGCCCTAAAGGAGATTGAGTATATGCTGACCAAGTGTTTACCAGCCGATCGCAATAAGCAGTAATTAATTTCTTGAAAGGTGTGCTTTTCCGTATCTTGAAGTGAATAATTGACCCTTCTTGCCCTTGCACTTTGATGTTGATGTGCTCTGAAGGAGCTTCCTGAATTACATAAGAAAATCTTTGGTTACCATCATCAGGAAAATAGTATTTATATCGCAAAAATGCCTACCTTATTGGCACTATCAGTCATCCCGACAAACTTTCCTTAACAGTTTAAAAGAATCTGCTCAAACAAACGCTATCTCGCTCTGGTGTCCAATGCACAATAGGTTCAAAATATGTTGAATATTAATAATAGTGTTTAAAGGATGTTCATTTGTCCTGTATTTCAAAGTACCACCGATTATTGCAAATTATGTCGAAACTACTTCAAGTACTAAAGTTAATCTGTAACTAATCGAATTTTTATTCAGTAAACTGAACAGTGTTCCAGTTCTGTTCAAAATCACTTGAGTAGCATTTATCTAGGGAGATAAAGAGTTTGATTTCCGAGAGCGACATATGTCAGAGAAAATCTAACACAATGTCTCAATAATGGGCAAGTAAATGACTGAGGTATTCAACTACTGTTGCCCCAGCCCTTTTGAAAGTTATCTAATGGTTCATACACTGTGAGTTTAGACGAAGCTGCATATGCCATCACTATGCAGTTGTTGGAACTGGCTGCTCACAAATCACTCAGTAGTCTGGTTGAGAGTATCGTGAGGACTTGATGATTGGTGTAGAGTAGAAGTAATATGTGATAAAAATAAAATGAACAGATGAGTGGAATGATGGTAAGTAAAAATATTTTAAACTAGGTAAAGATTAAAGCTGTGTTATCAAGCCACTTGTGAAGAGAACAAAAAGTAGGAGTGTTCATAATTCTAATTGGAAGGTATAATTGATTTTCCAGAACTCTCTTGCATCGGTTTGGTGAAACTGCTGTGATCTCGTCGACTGAGACGGAATTCCGGGCACCACACTGCTGTTGTCTAACTAAGTGATTTCTTGCCTGAATGTTCTCTCTTCGATGAATGATTCGTGCATTCGAGAACAACTCTCCCCCTGACCATCGTTGCTTTCTCCCTCGTTTATCTTCAAGTCAACAAAATGGAAGATACTTGGACATCATTACCATCCGATTCGGTCATATCGATTGTATCCTCACACCACATCCTTTGAGAGGCTGTTTTGACATGTATATTCACTGGTTTTTGTAACGACAAAATAAAGACCTCATTTTTCTTTATTTTTCACACTTTATATGTAATCACATTTATATCCATTATCTACTGTTTCTCTGTATCGTTGGTAAGATGAAACGGATATAGTTGTTTGATTCTACTTACACACTACCGCGATTACTAAGAATATATCTGTAATCGGTTCTTCTGCTTTATTGGCCAAGGCCTGTGGTTGAAGATTATAGTAGTGTTATAGCATTCTCTAAGGTCAATCTATATTAAGTTAGAGTTTTGGCCCTTACTATTATTCGAAATTTTCTGTCGGGCTTAATCATTCTCGCTACGGCGTTGGTGCCACCACGTTCAAAGAAACACCGGTTAGTCAAGTGAACTAACCTGTGATTATCTCAGAGAAGCAGCTTACAAGCAACATTCATTCCAAAACAATAGTTGTCATTTCTGTTATTTAATATACCATTTGTACCGTAAATGTTGCTTGTGACTTTTCTGCTTTGCTCATAGGTACATAGGTTTGTAGTGTCAATTTTTCGGTATACTACTAGTAACTCTGAGTATTGTTATATCTTGGGTAGGCCCTTTTGCTGGGATCCACCACAAGGCCTAGTCTGTAATCTTTGCGTGTGTGTGTGGGCGGGAATCCGCACATATACATTTTCTGTGACTATAACACTTTGTTTTACCTTTCCGTTCAGCCAAACTTTTCCTAATCCCTTCATTTATGTTCATCACCATTTTAGTTCGTATGAGATTGCTGTTAGCTTTTTGTTCACAATGATGGTTATTCAATCATACTTTTGCTTTTGCATAATATATCTTTATTTTAGTTTTCATCGTAACCAGCTAAAGGTTTTAGCTACTGCCTCATCGATTTCACATAACTGCATAAGTCAGAGTTGTTTTACTGGTATCCTGCTTGTCAGGAATACACCTCCTCCTTGACAAATAACTGATTTTGTTCTTTAGTGTTTTAATTATTTGACGCAACATAAATTTGGTCGTATGAAGTCTCCAGGTCAATTGTTGGCCATGTAACTTAGTACCCGTATTGTTTAGGCACTTTAAATATCTTGATATTACATCTGTGCTTAGTAAGTTTAGTAAATATTAAAAAATGATTGTGGCTTGAGTTTCTTTGCAGCTGATTACGGTTTGATCACATGGATAAGGTGGATACAAAGAAAGGAACAGAAACTCTGGGAGTTTTGGTCACTAAGTAATCTTTCTTGTTAATGGCTAACTAATATAAAGGGCGATTTTAAACATTTTGCTAAGATACAAGATTAACGATCAAGACTAAAGAACCAGAGTAACGCTATATACTACTTTATTCAACGCGGTTACAAGCAGTCACATTCAGTAATTTTGGAGTAGAAATCAATGATAGGAAAGGAAATCACATGTTTAATGGTCAAAAGACTAAGTGCTTGTTCGTTTCTGCTCAGTTACCAACCACATTTTACTACCGATACCACAAACGAGTAACTGAAGTCTTTTAGTTAGCCGGACCATTGAAAAATGATCGTGGTCCAAAATATCCTGAAAGATAAATCAGAAAGAAGGCCGCAGCATCTGATCGGGAAATATATGTCAAAATTCTAAAATATCTGCCTTTATGCTTAACACACTTAAAATGAAAATTTGGGTGAAGATTATTTGAGCTATAAAAAATGGGATTACAATAATAATAATAATAATAAAACGATGCGTGTTAATAGCCGTTGGTTAATAACTTAACGTATAGGTAGTAAGTATTTTGTGTTTAGAAATATTAAAGTAATGAATATTGTAGAAATGTTAATATTGGTATTAGTTTTGGTTTAAATTATGAAATCAAATAACGATTATGCCGGTAAGTTGTCCATATGAGTTGATTTCCAATTGCATCTGTATTAGTAGGCTAACTGAAGGAACAAAAGTATACCGTGGAGAAGAATTCCAACTAGTGTTCCAGTTAGTTTGATACGGTTTATTTAGTTACGGGGAGATTTTCTCAACCTCATTTTTACTTGACCGTGATAGAATTTAGTAATACTACTAATACACATGAATGGTTATCAAAACAAAATTTAAATACGTGAGTGATAATTATATGAATTTTGGACAGATAGCTAGGAACAAATCGTTAAACATGAGTGTATTCGTAAGAGACATGCTCTAGACTCAATGTTCTGATCTGCGATAGACTATTTATTTATATTTATACTTGCCGGCTGATTGGGCATACAAGTTAGTTGCAAGTATGCAGTTTATCATAAGGCGGAATACGATTTAATTGAGATATAGTGGTTATAAGTTATTAAAATCAGTTAGGCCTATGTGTCATATTACTAGGTGATGTGGTGCTGCAAGATGTATTTGGCTAAATAAGTTTTTACAAGATGATTAATAGTGAGTGATGCTCATGTGATTATCAGGGAGAACATAAGTTGTAACCAGGGGAGTACACTCCCAACTCATGTCTATGATAATGGCTTGAACCTTAGTCAGTGTTGGGGTAAATTCGACATTGATGTTTTCAGTTTGCAGGAGATTTGCTCGACTGCTTATACTGATTATTTGCATGCATGATTGTGTCGCTAAACCATCAATTAGACTGACAAGGTTTTGAGATATTTACTGAATGAGCAACTGATAGAGAAACATACTGTAATCATCTGTAGTGAATGAAGATAAAAGAAAAACAACACTAGTGATAATTATAAGTCAATTTGCTGACCGATTTTGTTAATAGTTTCATTAATTTTATCAATCATATTACGTGATTGTCAAGTTATGACAATGCTTTATGACGATATCCTGAAACTATTATGTTTAACTAGTTATAGTGTTGATGAGGATTAGTCAGTGGAAAAATAGGTATTGTTGCTTTAGGTGATTCGAAATTATCAGAAATTTATAACGTTAAAGAATCCGAGACGCCTAATTTAATTATAAATTTCAATTCAGAAATATTCGTTTAGTGTTAATTCTAGTAGGCTACGGAGTTTTGATTTTAAACGTTTGTTTAGCCAACAGGGATTTAGTTATTTTACTAGTGCAGTTGATAGTACCTAAATTTTTAATCTTATTATCTAAACTATGTTCGCATTTTAGGCTGCTAATATGATAAACCAATCCATAAACCCAAATACGATTAGCAACAACGACTATGATGGGTTTATTGATAAATGTTAAAGGCGATTCAGATGATTTCTAAATTTAGAAGACATGGAGATATAGTGTAACGTATGTATGGGCCAGGTTAACATGCAGGTTGTTGACGTATATGACAATTTAAAAATAATGAACATGACCAGAAATAATTTTAAAGTTAAGACTGCTTATGAAACTTCAGGCAGGAATATGACGCGTTATAAACATTCCATAAGAAGTTACTGCATTTAGCCTAGGGACACTTACAAATATATGGCAAAAGCAACTGGAAAACATATACATGTTAAGTACAAAAAAATCATCCAGTAAAATAGTTGAACTCGCCTGGATTATTTTTGAAAATTAGATTATTCAGTGGACGACATATATAACGCCATTCGTGAGTAGTAATGATCCAAAAGTATCCAGAATAAAACATGCAGTATGGCAATTAATTCCAGGGTGCTTGATGCTGTTGACGTTTTTGCCACTCGCTCGGATCAGAACAACCGAATGAATCCAGATAATTGTGCGGTCACCATTGAACGAGCCATCTAAAATGACCTTATGATTGCAGAAAACTTAAGGCTGAAACTCACCGTATGTTTTTAGAGAAGTGTCATCCTTGTTGTTTGGCAATGGAACTCGAGAATATGAAATTAGGCAGGCAGTGGTCGGAAGAAAAGATATTACAGGATAGTGCATAGTTTAAAACAGGATGAGGTAATAAGATAAGGAACACTGAATATTAGATCCAGATAACTATTTAGTCCTTGCTGCATTGTTAGTCAATGTATATTTACGCTATTTACAGGTCATATTTGCTAGAGCTTGATGTTTAAACAAGTCTATGTCGCTGAAGCATGTAAAT